GGAGACATAGATCAACAGAACAGAATAGAGAGCCCAGAAATAAACCCATGCTTATATGGTCTATTAATCTATGAAAAAGGAGGCAAGAATATACAAATGGGAAAAGACAGTCTCTTCAATAAGCGATGCTGGGAAAACTGAACAGGTACATGCAGAAAAATGAAACTGGACCACTTTCTAACACCACAAACAAACACAAACTCAAAATGGATTGAAGACCTAAATGTGAACCCTGAAACCATAAAAATCCTAGAGGAGAACACAGGCAGTAATTTCTCTGACATCGGTCATAGCAACATTTTTCTAGATATGCCTCCTACAGCAGGGAAAACAAAAGCAAAAATAAACTATTGGGACTACATCAAAATAAAAAGCTTTTGTGCAGGGCACCTGGGTGGCTCAGTCATTAAGCATCTGCCTTTGGCTCAGGTCATGATCTCAGGGTCCTGGGATCGAGCCCTGCATCGGGCTCCCTGCTCGGCGGGAAGCCTGCTTCTCCCTCTCCCACTCCCCCTGCTTCTGTTCCCTCTCTCACTGTGTCTCTCTCTGTCAAATGAATAAATAAAATCTTTAAAAAAAGAAAAAAGAATATGTCTTAAAAAAAAAAAAGCTTTTGTGCAGTAAAGGAAACCATCAACAAAACAAAATAAAGGCAACCTACTGAATGGAAGAGGGTATTTGCAACTGACAAACCCGATAAGGGGTGAATATCCAAAATATATAAAGAACTTACACAATTCAACACCATAAAAACAATCTGATTGGGGCACCTGGGTGGCTCAGTTGGTTAAGCGTCTGCCTTCGGCTCAGGTCATGATCCCAGGGTCCTGGGATCGAGTCCCACGTTGGGCTCCCTCCTCAGCAGGGAGTCTGCTTCTCCCTCTCCCTCTACCCCTCCCCCCTGCTCATGCTCACTCTCTCTCTTAATAAATAAATAAAATCTAAAAACAAAAACAAAAAAAAAAACCCTGGGCACCTGGGTGGCTCAGTTGGTTAAGCGACTGCCTTCGGCTCAGGTCATGATCCTGGAGTCCCAGGATCGAGTCCCACATTGGGCTCCCTGCTCAGCAGGGAGTCTGCTTCTCCCTCTGACCCTCCTCCCTCTCATGCTTTCTGTCTCTCATTCTCTCCCTCGCAAATAAATAAAATCTTAAAAAAAAATAAAAAATAAAAAAATAAAAAAACCCCAACAATCTGATTAAAAAATAGGCAGAGGACTCAAACAGACACACTTTTCCAAAGAAGACATACAGAATGGCCAACACATATGAACAGGTGCTTAACATCACTAATCATCAGGAAAATACAAATCAACACTATGATGAGATACCACCTTACACCTGTCAGAATGGCTAGAATCAAAAAGAAATAACAAGTGTTGGCAAGGATGTGAAAAAAAAAAGGAAACCTCATGCACTGTCGGTGGGAATACAAAGTGGTACAGCCACTGTGGGAAACAGGATGGAGGTCTCTCAAATTCCACTATAGGGAATTTACCCAAAGAAAACAAAAATACTAATTTGAAAAGATATATGGACCCCTATGTTTATTGCAGCATTATTTATAATAGCTAAGATATGGAAGCAGCCTGTGTCCATTTACAGATGGATAAAGAAGATGTGATATAAGTTGTGCGCGCGTGCATGGTGCATGCACACACACACACACGCGTGTGCACACACACACACTATGGAATATTACTCAGCCATAAAAAAGGATGAGATCTTGTCATTTGCAACAACATGGATGGACCTAGAGGGTATTATGCTATGTGAAATAAGTCAGACTGAGAAAGACAAATACCATATGATTTCCCTCATATGTGGAATCTAAAAAACAAAACAAATGCGTAAGCAAACAAAAAGCAGAATCAGATCTATAAATACAGAGAACAAACTGATGAATAAATGAATGAATGAATGGGCAGGAATGATAAGATGTTGAAGAAGAAAGCCAATGATGGAACACTGGACACACTGGCATTAAATGATCCCGTGATGAGACTGGAAAGGAATGGGCAGAGGTCAGAGCAATGGGTACCCGTGGTGTCAGAAGCCAGAGGAAGATAGAATTTCAAGAAGGAGAGAAAGGGCAGAGTCAACTACTGAGAGAGGCCAAGTAAGATAAAACCTGAAGGGCGCCTGGGTGGCTCAGTTGGTTAAGCGACTGCCTTCGGCTCAGGTCATGATCCTGGAGTCCCGGGATCGAGTCCCACATCGGGCTCCCTGCTCAGCAGGGAGTCTGCTTCTCCCTCTGACCCTTCTCCCTCTCGTGCTCTCTCTCATTCTCTCTCTCGCAAAAAAAAAAAAAAAGATAAGACCTGAAAATCACTCATTGGATTGGCTCTAGAAATGCATGGCTGACCTCATGGCAGCAGGGTCGGTGGAGTGGAGGGGGCAGAAGTCAGTCTGCAGTGGCTGAGAAAAGAGTAGGAGTAGTCTTTTCCCAAAGAAAAGAGTAGGAAGAGTAGGAAGTAAAACAGTGGAGGTAGCCAACGCAGATGAACCTTCCAAGAAGCTGTGGGAGGTGCCGGAGCTGGGGTTGGGAGGTCTGGGGGAGGAGGGCTGATAGGAGGACCCTATGACCTGACAGTGTCTGCTTACGTCAGATGTGAGCAATGTGGATACAGAATTACCACGACACCCTCCTGGCTGTCTCCCTGCCCTTGTCTCCCATCTCCACGCCATCTGGTGCTAAGGCCAAATTAATCTCCCCCAAGCACAGAACCTGCCTCCTCCCAAGCTCAGTAACTACCAAAAAATTCCCCTGTGCCTACAGACAAAACCTCACCTCTTAGCATTTACGGTTTTCCATAATCTGACTCCCATCAATTTCTCTCCTCTTCTTACTCTCGGATGCCACCTTCATAATGCCTCCCTGATCTCCCAGGCAGAAGCCAGTTCTGCTTTTGGACCACTGGGAAAGCCACACCTCCATCTGTCTTCCAGTCCTACTGTCTTTCTAACATGTGATGCCAATGACACATATCTTACCTCCTCTAAGACACCACCAGCTCTTTGAGGGCTGGATCCATGTCTGACTTATCTTTGTGTCTTTACCAGGAAGGTCCTCAAATATTTGAGCAAATAAATGAATGACCAAACACATCAGTCCTACTCTGTGCCTTGGCATTTGGAATAAATTTACCCAGGAGCCATGTGAATGGGATCAAAACTTGGCAGACAACAGGCATGGCCAGGGGCCAGGGGGGCTGCCTTGTCCACAGCACCTTCTAGTTGGAAACCTGACTTGACAGACTGACAGACAGACAGACTGGACTTGAATGAAGACGGAGTAGGGCTGCATTATTATTTCTTGATTCTTGTGCTTACAGGCAGAGGGGTTGAAAGATAAAATCATGGCACTGAAATCCTCTATTCATTTGTGCTGCCTGCACAGTTTGTTTGAATGAAATGAAGCCAGCCCAGGTTTCTCGTTTTAGCTCTGCCACTTACCAGCTCTGCGTTCTTAGGAAATTCACCAAACCCTTGTGGGTCTCCGTTTCTCCACACTCTTCTGCCAAACTCATGAGGGTCTAATGGGTGTGAAAGGGTGGTCACCGTCTGTGAAGTGCTATTATGCACGGAAATGAGATTTCAACCCGTTCCCACAGTGTGTGGGAAACATGAAAACAGCCACTACCTTCTAAATGCTGGTTAAGCCAGTGTCCTGAGGATCGGAAACAGCATTTTTGAGTTTTCAAGCCTAGTTTTAATCAGACATACAGAGTGTTCTTGCTTTAAAAAATGAAATTAAAAAAAAAAAGAAATTAAATGTCTCAAGACAGCCATTTAGTAACGAATAAAAGCGGCTGATCTCCCTTATCTAAAACACTTTCGGGCCTGGGTGGCTCAGTCGTTAAGCGTCTGCCTTCGGCTCAGGTCATGATCCCAGGGTCCTGGGATTGAGTCCCGCATCGGGCTCCCTGCTTGGCGGGAAGCCTGCTTCTCCCTCTCCCACTCCCCCTGCTTGTGTTCCTGCTCTCGCTATCTCTCTGTTAAATGAATGGATAAAATCTTTAAAAAAAATAAAAATAAAAAATAAATAAATAAAATAAAATAAAATACTTTCACTGCTCAGTATTGAAGGGTGAATTTAAATTGGGATTAATTAATTTCTTGGCTTGAGGTTCTGGAAGCTATAGGGTACTTTCATCAGTAAGGTGGCAGCCAAGTCTATTTCAATCTCCTACAAGACATTTTACAACACAATTACCCCACCTGTTAAGAGGAGTTAGTCATGTCAACTCATCTCTCAGAGTTGTTCAGGGAAACAACCAAGTTCTCTTAAAACACAAAAGCCTACCAAAGGAAAATATTTGATATAAAAGCTAGTTTAAGGGTGATGATTTAATTAAAACACAAATGTCTTTGGAGTTATCAACATTAATTATTAAAAGAAAAAAAAAAGCCTACCAAAGGATATAAGAAACCTACTCACATAAAGCCAAATGCCAACTCATTTTAGATATTCTCAAGTAGATAGCACCACTGACCATGACACGCTAAGTGCCTGTCGACCATGTGCCGGGCACCATGGCTGACAAAGAGAAGTATCAATTTCTTACCTGTCTGGAATATGTGATCATACATGAGAAAAAATTCTGAGAACCTTCTCGTTTGGTCCTCAACCCTGTGATAAAGGCAAGGCAGGGATGATTATCTCCTGAACAAAACGGCTTCAAAGAGACTGATTGATTTAATCCAAGTCCCACTGCTTATTAGTAGAAGGCAGTAGGTTCTTTCCATGTCTTCAGACTGCCCTCAGCATGCTTACACTCTAGTTGTAGAGGTAAAATACTACCACAGAGGAAGAGACAATGGCCCGCACACAGCAGGTGCTCAATGACCATCGCTTGGTGGGGGTGGTGGTAATGTGGTGGTAATGACAATGACGGTAATGGCAGTGACCATGACAATGATCATGATGACAGGAGCCGAAGAGGCCCAGGTGTGCGTGCTAAAGGACCGGCAGAGATGCTGAATGCTCGTGGAGCTCACCTGAGTCCTCTCCATACCAGTTAGTCTGGACATCCATCATGGAACTCATGGTTCCTCCTGCACCATCTGGTCTTCCCTCCAAACTCCGAGAAAAGTGATGGTCCGCATCGCCTTTGCTGGGGACAGCACTGTTGCGCAGAAGTGCCTCCAGGAATTGCTTCACGTGGTAGTTCCCGTAAGCCAAGTCCACAGCCTGGCCACCGGGCAAAGCCTCGGCCACGCGGGCCAGGCTGAGTGGGGAGGCATAAGGCTGCAGCGGCTCACCACCCTCCACCTCCACCTCGTCGGCCTCAAACTCCACCTTGGGCTCTATCTGTTTGGGCAGAATAGAGAGGTCACCGTCAGCTGGGCCACAGCCCTGGCGGTCCTTCACCACCAGTCCCAGCGGGTGGCAGCCCTGGCAGTCACCGCAAGGGGACTCTCTCGGACAGTCCACACTCTCCTCTCCCTCAGCTGCCGAGGAGACCAAGCTCTTGGTATCACAGGAGGTCCCTTCCCTGCCTGAACTGGGGCTTCCACCGTCAACCTGATGAGCCCCCACGGCTACCGCCGCCGCCGCCGCCTCCTTCTCCATCTTCCGGCAGATATCGAGGGACGACCTGATGTACGTCTTGCAGAAGTTCACCACATCGTTCATCTGCAGGTAGCTGGCCGCTGACATAACTTCAATCACGTTCTCCCCGCACAGATCCAGCTTCCCAGAGTACAGGAAGTCTAAGATGGTGGAGAAGGCATCGGACGTGACAATGTCCAGCGAGGCGGTGCTGGGCCGCCCGCTGTCCTGGATGTAGTGAATGAGCAGGGCTCGGAAGTAGCCGCTGTTGGCAAACAGAATGTTCCTGTGGGCCTTGAAGATCCGCCCTTCCACAATGATGCTGCAGTCACAGAAAAAGTCCCTCTTTCGCTGTTCATTCAACTCCCCCAAGAGCTTGGCATAATAGGATTGCATCTCCATTTCTCCACCAGCTGCTGCTTCTCTGGAGTGGCCTGTATCTCTGCCAAGATTTTTTTTTTTTTCCAGTTAATTCACCGATCCCAACCTTACAAATAAGATGTTCAGTTTTAATTTTTCTTTTTCATTCTTCCCCAAACACCGGTTCAATAGTGTCTTTATGATATGGGTTATTTTGGGATCTAACAAAAATCAGAGGTGGTCCAACGGGGTTAATTTATGAAAAACAACAAAAATAACCAGAACAAGCTGCACGTGGCACAGTACATAGTGTTTTACATGGAAGCTCTCAATACATTTTTATAAAAATCCGATGATAAAATTGTCCCCATTTTTCTGATAAGGAAATTGAGACTTAGAGAAGGTAGGAGACGACCCAGCTATAACAGCCAGGACTCAAAACCAGGTCAGTTATCCCCTGGAGTTCCTGCTTTTATGCCTACACTATACTTTCTTCACGACTCAGAATATAGATAATACCCAAATCTAATACTTACAGCTCAATCCTGACACGGACCTTGGAGACTGTACTCGCCTGTCTCGGCACACCCCTCTTATCATGCCTTCATGGAAGCACAGTGGATTCTTGGGCTAGCCTGCATACAGTCATCGTTCTTATGGTTTTTAGTGCCCATTCTGGCTTTGAGAGATCCACCCTTCCCCCATTCTTGGCCAACGTGTTTTGCATCAAGCTGGCGCCATCCCCAGGCTCTAGATATAAACAGATATAACACAATCAAGGCATCCCACCTTCTGAGTGCAGTGATTAGCTCAGAAATGGCCACGTGGCTTGGTCAGAGCAATGAAAAGCAATACAGGTTTAGTGAAGGTTCCAGAAAAGAGCACTGTCTACTCTGTGAGCATGTGGGATGTCAGAGATGCTGTCTCAGCACCAGGGGAACCAGCCCGACAAAGATGACAGTCTGGCTCAGGCAGGAGCAACAAATGGAGCCCAGGGACACCCTCTGCGCCCCAGTTCATGCTGGGCCAGAAGCCAATTAAGTCTCTTTTTGCCTTAGCTGGTCTGAGTTGGGTTTTCTATCTCTTGCAAATGAGAGACTCCCAACTGATGGACTCCACTACCCTTGGTTCACTCCCTCGAATTTTATGTCCTGGCCCTTGTCTGTCAGTGGACTCCAAGCCTTTGAAGGCATGAGCCATGTCTTATCTCATTTGCTACCCTCCATAGCACCTGGCAGAGTGCTTTGGACAAGGTGGGTTGGCTAAGGACAAAGGAAGACTCCTTTCTTAACTGCTAAGTAGAACAGGTATAAATCAAGTTTAAAACCCTTCTGCTGGTGAGAAGGACAGATGCTGACCTTCTTCTCTGAGCTCTCGCCTCAGTCTTTTCCCATCCCACAAACCACAGAGCCGTCCTGCGACAGCACTGCAGCTGGTCTTAAGGGTTAACTTGCTTCAGGTTAACACAACTCCTTGCTTACTGACCTAAGGCCCTTGGTCTATCACCGAACTAATTTGCTTTCGTTGAGATTTGCAGACCACTGGCCTTGGAAAATGAAGGACCAGAACGTTCCCAGGCCGCCTCGGCTTTCTGATTAGCCTGGCAATCTTTTAACAAAACATTTTTCTTTTTTAAGGTCACGCAAATGACTCTACTGACCTCCCTTTGCGCATCTGTAAACCTTGCCCTCCTTTGCAGAAAGATCAGAGTACTCTTGCACAACCCCGGGGTAGCCAGGAGCCAGACCTTCTTGCACAACCTCTGTGTGCTGAGATAATTCTGTAGCTAGCATCATTGAGCCGCACATCATCAAGAAATGTCAAAGCCCACCGTACTCCCTTAACTGATTAAACCCCTTTAAAAATCCCTGGGCCAGGCAGAAACCTCAGAGTTGGCTTTTGGACAAGAGTCTGCCTTCTCCCCAGATGGCTGGGCTCCTCTCTTGAGTATTGGCCTCTTGAGCAACAAGCAGCCGAACTTGGGTTTTGGTAACAATCCATCCACTACCCCTTTTCCATACTGACCCATGGAGCACAGATAAGTTTCTACAACCAAGTACATCATCTCCCTCTACTGGAATCACAAAAGGCCTAGTTAGAGCTGCCAACCACAACCAATTCCTTAGCACTCTTCCTTTCTACAAATGCAACACAATACCTCACCCAGCCAGAAATCAGACACCCCCTACCCACAAAAAGGGCCCTTCCACTGGCAAAATAGACGCCCCAAGGTCTATGTACTAACTGCACAGACTAGATTCATCGAAGACCCTCAACAACCTTATTAAGTGGCTGTCCACACCTACTTTCTACGTACTTATAGCAAGTGATGCATTAAGGTAAGAAACTAGACAACCAATTAGGGAGAGAAGTGAAGGAGTGTCTCTAAGCAAGTAAACTGACAAAGGTGAGAACTGACAGCTAGGAAAAGGTAAAAAAGTTACTTAAAAAACAGACCCAGGAATTTTTTCAAAATTTCAGCCTGAGGCCATGTAGCTAAGCATATTAGATGCTCCTACATATTCAAAATGGCCTAAGGACAGCAATAAATTATAGCCTGGGGCTATCATTGATGGGCCTAAGTCATCAAGATGATTCTTATCTGTTTATATTCATTTTAAAGTCAAGGAAGTTATGCCATAATTTCAGGAATTTTTTTTATCCAAAGTAGTTAAAATTAACATTTGGTTCAGAAAGAAAGAGACCTGTCATATATCTGCACAATTCCCAAAAATATCAACCCTGAAAGTTGTCACAGAACTAAGGTTTCACTGTCATTCCCACCTCTTCTGACTGCTCTAACCAAGCCTTCCAGGCAGTTCCTGCCATTGCCTTTGGCTATCAAAATATGAAGGGAAAAATGAGATATAGGAAAATGCAACATTTCAATATCACACTCTACTTTTCTTTAGAACTGAAAGAAAGGGGTGCCTGGGTGGCTTAGTCGGTTAAGGGGTTAAGCATCTGCCTTAGGCTCAGGTCATGATCCCAGGGTCCTGGGGTCAGGCTCCCTGCTCAGCGAAAAGTCTGCTTCTCCCTCTCCCTCTGCTCCTCCCCATCCTGTTCATTCTCTCTCTCTCTCTCTCAGATAAATAAAATCTTAAAAAAAAAAAAAAAGAACTAAAAGAAAACCTATCAGACTGGTAAAATCACATTTTTCAATGTGCTAAAATCCAATGTTGATGTGGATATAATCTGGAATACCATTTTAGAGAGGAATTTGGCAATATTTATTAAAACCTAAAATGCACATTTCTTTTGGGGCGCCTGGGTGGCTCAGTCGGTTAAGTATCCACTCTTGATTTTGGCTCAGGTCATGATCTCAGGGTTCTGAGATCAAGCCATGCGTCACACCCCTAGTTGGCTCTGGAGTGGAGCCTGCTTAAGATTCTCTCTCTCTCCTTCTCCCTCTGCCCCTACTCCCCTCCCCGCTCATGTGCATGCTCTCTCTCTCTTTCAAAAATTAAAAAAATTTTTGGGGCGCCTGGGTGGCTCAGTTGGTTAAGCGACTGCCTTTGGCTCAGGTCATGATCCTGGAGTCCCGGGATCGAGTCCCGCATCGGGCTTCCTGCTCGGCAGGGAGTCTGCTTCGTCCTCTGACCCTCTCTCTCAAATAAATAAATAAAATCTTTTAAAAAAATTAAAAAAAATTTTAAATATTAAATGTAAAATTTTTAAAAATACACACTTCTTTTGTCCCAGAAATTTCAACATAAAAATTTACCCTTTCAGATGTGTTGTCAAAAAACATCAAATTACAAGTTCAGAGACGTCCATTCACCAGGTTTTTGTACTAGTGCAAAAGTAAAAGTGATCTGAATGTCCACCAACAGGGGACAAGTTAAGTCAACGAGGTACAATCACACAGGTGAATACTATGCAACCAAGTTTTTAATGAGCTAGAGCTGTATGTGTTCATTATGGAAAGGTCACCAAGATATATTAAGAGGAAAAGGCAAGATGCAAAACAAAATGTACTGTATCATCCCGTCCACATATGCATGATTTTTCCCCCATAGCAGATATACTTGAGAAGAAGGATTAAGGGTAAGAGGTATGTAGAGGGACTTTCACTTTTCATTTTCAAACTTTCTGTACTGTTAGGGTGTTTTACTATGCGTATGTACTGCTTTCATTTTTTTCTTTTTAAACAAAGGGGGGAAAGGAAGAGGGGCAGAGGGATAAGGTAGTTGGCAAACCAGTAAGATAAACCAGTGGAGGCACAACAACTCTTAGCCTGAAGAATGGTTTTATCTACAGGGCCTTCTCCCAGGGCATTTCTTTTTTTTTTTTAATTTTATTTATTTATTTGACAGAGAGAGAGAGACAGCTAGAGAGGGAACACAAACAGGGGGAGCGGGAGAGGGAGAAGCAGGCTCCCTGCTGAGCAAGGAGCTGGATGCGGGGCTCGATCCCAGGACCCTGGGATCATGACCGGAGCTGAAGGCAGATGCTTAACGAACGACTGAGCCACCCAGGCGCCCCCCCCCCCCAGGGCACTTCTATCTTTCACTGGAAGATGCTCCTTTCCAGCAATAGTACTCAAAACCCATCTTTGGCTTTCTCACTGCAAATAATCTAGATTCCATTGGGTCATATAAATACTCCCTAATTTTGCAAGTCTGTCCCCAAGCCTATACTTGTCATATACTGTGGAAATCATTATTCATATCACTTGCCTTCAGTGTCCTGCATCCCTGGGACGCTATTTCTCCTTGGAAAGAAGCTCTTTGGGTATACTGCTGTCAGAAGTACATTTATCGGGCGCCTGGGTGGCTCAGTTGGTTAAGCGACTGCCTTTGGCTCAGGTCATGATCCTGGAGTCCCAGGATTGAGTCCCGCATTGGGCTCCCTGCTCTTCAGGGAGTCTGCTCCTCCCTCTGACCCTCCCCCCTCTCATGTGCTCTCTCTCTCATTCTCTCTCTCTCAAATAAATAAATAAAATCTTAAAAAAAAAAAGAAATACATTTATCCACACTCTGGCAGGGACCCCCCTCCCCCAAGCCCTCTCACTGTTCCAATTAAATTCAACAGGGACTAGCTACATACAAGGAAGATGCCAGGAATAGAAAAATGAACCAAGTACAGTGCATGTCCTCCAGGAGAGAGCAGATGCCAACACTACCACCTGCAACACATGGCCGCATTCCCCAGGGATTCCTACCCAAATCCCACAACTGTCTTCACTCAGGCACCAAAACCAGCCTTGAATTCCACCCACTAACTCTGACAAGACTCCTTCAGTCTTACCAA